AAGGCGAGAGCTACATGTTGAGAAGGGCCGGCCATCCATCCGTGAAGTTGTTGCAGTCTTTCAAGACGGCCGTGCGCGGCGCTTAGACGGCAGCCACATTTTGAAAACGGGCCGCCCTCCCTTCGTAGAGTTCTTGTAATCTTTCAAAACGAATGCGCGCAGCGCTCAGGCGAGAGCAACATCTTTAAGACCACCCGCCCTGCATCCGTGAAACTGCTGCTAAGTTCAAGGATCGTAGGTGGTGGGGAAGTCTCAGGCGAAACGCCCAGACTGCCCGACCTACGTTGTCTCTGGGTGCGACAGGGAGGAGTAAAGCATAAGGAACATGGATGGAGGAGGAGGAGGAGGAGGACGAGGAGGAGGATGAGCAACATGAGCAACAACAGCAGCAGCAGCAGCAGCTGCAGCAGCAGTTGCAGCAGCAGCAGCAACATCACCAGCAGCAGTAGCAGGATCAGGGGGACACGAGGAAAAGGAACGTGGGCGGGGGCAGACAGGTTTCCTCCCCCCCCCCCGCCCACACTTACCTCCCCCTACGTGCCCGTGCCCCTCCCCCGAGCCCTCACTATCTCATTCCGCTATCCCCCCCCCATATCCGTTCTCCCTGCGCTCCGCCTCCCCATTCCTTTCCCCCTCACCCTGGCGCGCCCCCTCCCGTTCTCCTCCTCCCCCATCCCTCTCCGTCGACCCCCTCTCCCCTCAACGCCTTCCCATCCCCGCGCCCTTCGCTTTGCCACCTCTCCCCTCGACGCCTCCCCCTGTCCCGAAGCCCTCCCACCGCCCCCTTACCGCTCCTGCAGCCTCCCCCCCAGAAAATCAATTCTGTCGCTGAGGTAATACATCAGCCTTTCACTGCCCTACATTTGCCGCTCCCTCGCCTCCTCCTCGAGGAGAAGGTGCAGGTCTTGGACGCGATGAAGGTGGTCAGCGGGCTCCAGCACGACCACAAGGTCGGCCTATACATTTACATAGTTATAGATATGCACATGATATGATATGATATGGTATGATGTGACATGATATCATATGAGATGCTATGCTATGATATGATCCCGGGTCGAGGGTTCCCCCCTCCCAAGGTCGGATGGGCCCCAGGTTTCCACAACCGCCTCCAGATGGGACGGGGGGGACGACCGCGACGACGACGCAGACGCCGACGTCAACGCCGACGCCGACGCCGACGCCGACGGGTTGCGACGACGAGAGTGACGACGACGACGACGACGACGACGACGACGACGACAAAGGCGACGACAAAGACGACGACGAACCCCCCCACACCAACAGGGAGGGGAGAGCACCGTCACCATCCACCACGCCACGCCCACAGGGCCACGACCAGAGGGGGGAGAGCGATCTCGTTCGCGATGCCTTCGCGATGCTCACGGGCGTACCCATCCACCAGGGGACGGGGTGGGGCTCGATCCCACATGCATTGTGTGGGGGGCAGTCTTGGATATCCATATATATATACATAGAAATATATGTACAGATGGTCATACATATAGCCTATCTGTTTGTACGTGTACACACACATATACACATGTCGACGTATACGTCTCTCTGGGCCTGTCTGTCTGTCTGTCTGTCTGTCTGTCTGTCTGTCTGTCTGTCTGTCTGTTTTTGTGTCTGTGTTTCCGCGTGTCTGTGTGTCTGTCTTTTTGTGTGTCTGTGTGTTTGTGTGTCTATCTGTCAGTCTGTCTGTCTGTCTGTCCGTTCTGTCTGTGTGTCTGTGTGTCTGTCTGTCTATATGTCTGTCTGTCTGTCTGTCTGTCTGTCTGTCTATCTGTCTGTCTGTCTGTCTCTCTCTCTCTGCCTCTCTGTCTCTCTCTCTCTCTCTCCTTTGTTTGGTTTCTCTCTCTCTCTCTCCCTCACTTTCCACTTCGTCCTGTTCCTCATTGTCCACGGCTGGGAACGTTTGCTTAGCGTGTCGCGCCGCCTATTCTTGCCCACCACGCTTCGGCGCGACATTGTCCCGGTCCCCAGGTGTCAAAGTCCCAAGCTTCTCCCCGCCTCCCGTCCCGCGGAGCGACACGCTATCTGCTTACAGGGCATAGCGTCGTGTCGTCGGGGGCCGCCGCCGCGACACGCTGAGCAAAAGTTCCTGACCGTATACTATGAACTTCCTCCTTCCCTCTTCCCCTTCCCATCCCTTCCTCGCTCCCTTGGCTCCCGCCCCCTGTCCCTCCCCGTTCCTTTTCGCCGTGCTTCCGGTCTCTTCGTCCCTCCCTCTCTGTCCTGATCTCTCACGCTCCACATGCAATCCCTACCGAGCGGTGGTGCCACGACTTCAGAGACGACCCCCCCCACACACTATTCTGCCAGTACGCGAAGCCTGACCCGCTGGCTTCAGGGCCGGGGGTCGGGCCAGGGCCGACCTGGGTACTGCAACAAGGAGGCGGGTTAGGGGAAGGCGGGCGCAAGCCGTCCGGGACTCTCAATTTCGGCCTTGATCCCCTCCTCCTCCTCCTCCCTCTCCTCCTCCTCCTCCTCCTTCTCCTCCTCCTCCTCCTCCTCCGCTCCTCCTCCTCCTCCTCCTCCTCCTCTCACTCCTCCTCCTCCTCCTTCTCCTACTCCTCCCCTTCCTCCCCCTCGCTCCTCCTCCTCCTCCTCCTCCTCCTCCTCCCCTCCTCCTCCTCCTCTCCTCACTCTCCTCTCTTCTCCTACTCCTCCTCCTTCTCCTCCTCCTCCTCCTCCTCCTCCTCCTCCCCTCCTCCTCCTCCTCTCCTCCTCCTCCTCCTCCTCCTCCTCCTCCTCCTCCTCCTCCTCCTCCTCCTCCTCCTCCTCCTCCTCCTCCCTCCTCCCCCTCCATCCTCCTCCTCCTCCTCCTCCTCCTCCTCCTCCTTTTTCCTCCTCCTCCTCTCTCCTCTTCTCCTCCTCCTCTCCTCCTCCTTTCCTCCCCCTCCTCCTCCTACTCTTCCTCCTCCTCCTCCCCCTCCTCCTCCTCCTCCGTAGCCATTTTGGCTCAAATCCGTCGTGTTCCACTCAAGGACAGGAGTCGCCTGGCAAGGGGGAAGGACGGCCCCCACTGCTTTCTTCGCCCCCGGCGACGCCACATCTTCGATACGGCACTGCGGTGAGCCTGCCTCTCTTCCGCTCTGCAGCGACGTCGGCGAAGCCGAGAGGCCGCGCCAGATGGCACCGCGGGGACGTGCTGGAGGGCCCTTCCTCTCGGGGCACCGACAGGCTCGGAGGGCGTGGGTTTCGCCGTGGGTTCGCAAACACTGTCGGAACAATAACGGTGAGCAGTGGTGGAACCGTGCTGATTTGTCGGAGATCGCAGCAGGTCCTCGCGCCCACATTCGCCACGCCAGGCCAGTCTCTTCGCCGAGCAGCTCGCCCCCTTCCAGCGGAGGCTCGGCCTCCCACAGCGTCGGTGGCCCACTGTCGCCCAGGGAGGAGCCCAGTAGTTTCGTGAAGTCCGCCGAGGAAGGGCTGCGCCGCGCTCAAGAAGCTTTCGAGGAGGTGAAGCGCCGTCGAGTCGCTTCTTCACTGTCTCTTCGGCCTTGTAAGCAAGAATCAGTGACCCGTCCTCCTGCTGGCCCGCCGCCAACACGCCTGGTTGAGGCCCACCGCGCCAAGGAGCGCAGCAGGGCTCTTCAGGCCAAGTCCCACGCAGGGGAAGCCACGCGTTCGGTGGGCCACTCACTCATCCTGTTACATGAGGCGAATTGGAGGTTCGTCTGTGAGTGGTGCAACATCGTCTCCCGCGCGTCTCGATCACGTTCTGGTGTAAGGCGTGTGAGTACACGGTTTGCGGCGACTGGTACTCACCGCTTACGGCTCCTGAAGAAGTGTCTGCTTTAGCGCAGGAGAGGGACTCAGCAGCTAGCGGCTCTGCTCCGTCGCAACGCTCGGCCGCCCCCGCTGCCAAACGCATGCCTGCCTCGGCACGTGCCACGGAGCAGGCCCCAAAGAGGTTGTTGAGGCTCAACTATGATGATGTGCGCCCTCTGGTGCGCACGAACTGCGAGGGCAGAGCCTGGCCAGGATTGTATTCGAAATCAGGCAGGTACCACTGTGCCGCTCCTTCGTGCCGTAACTTCATGCCCGAAGGATGGATGCGGTCCTGCTTCAGGTGCCAGAAGAGCACATGGGACGGCCAGTGGCGGGGTCTTGCCTCGCTCAATGCGGGCAAGGGCTTCGTGTGCAGATTTTGTTGGCTCGAGGAATGTAAGGAGGCAGACCTGCCTAAGTGGCAGCGCTGGTTCACGCACCGACAGAACATGTACAGTCGTGCGTTTCCCCCCGACCCCGAATGGAGGCTCCAAGTTTGCCCCGCCGCACTTGAAGGCCTGGCGCGTCTCGGCGCTCCACCCTTTTGGGGTGTGTGCTCTCCAGGATATTCCAGGCCTGCCGTGCTTGCGGCGCGGGCCTCTTTTTCTTTTCTGATCCCGTCGGTGCTTGGCACTTTCGGGGGGCTCCTTTCTTTTCTGGAATATTCGCGGGCGCGGCCTGGCTGCACGTGTCGGTGCCCCTCCCCGTGGTGGTCCCTCGGGATTCGGTGGACTTTTCGTTGTTGGCTTGTTTCGTATTTGGCCTGTCACTGCTGCGCGATCGCGCGGTGCGTCCAGGATTGAGTCCTGGTGATTTGTACGGAACACTGCGTGGCCACGGGGGCATGGCCCTGACTGTGGTCCTGGAGCCTTGCGTTTCTGCACGGCTGCTGTGTTTTTTCTTTGGTGCACGGGGTGTGGGCGCAGGCCTCACCCAACACAGCCCTTTTTACTTGCCCCTCACGGGGCGCTTTGGCTGTGGATGTCCAAAGCTGGCAGGTCCCGCGCTGCCAGTTGCTAGCACTATGCAGTGGGCCCGTGGAGGTCAAAAATCTTCCGGGTTTCCCGCATGGGGCAGTGCCGCAGCCGCGAGCCTGCCGCTTAACGAACCAATGGCACCAGGATGGTATGTCTGCGGAGGTATCGCTTATCGACGTAGTCGCTATCATCAGGGGCGTCAGCGGTGGTACTTCTACGGCCATATCGCGCGCGCGCCCGGCCTAGTGGTTCGGCCCTGATCCTCTTCCATGTCTTCGCGGGCGCGTTCTGCGCGCAGCGCTCAGCGGTCCGGGACGGGCACCCGCCACGATGCATGCTCGAGCCGCTTCGGCAGCGGAGCCGCCCCCGCGCCCACAGCGAGCGCCCCGGGACCTGCGATGGCCTTGAGCTGCCGGCCGAGGGCGGGATCGACGCGAGCCCGCGGCCCAGGTCGTCGTCGACTGTCGGACCGGGCGGACTCCGCCTGGTCCGACAGGATGAGAGGGAGGAGGAAAAGGATGAGAGGGAGGAGGAGGAGGAGGGAAGGAGGACGAGGAGGAGGAGGGGAGGAGGAGGAGGAGGAGGAGAGGGAGGAGGAGGAAGGAGGGGGGGAGGAGGAGGGGGAGGAGGAGGGGGAGGGGAGGAGGAGGAGAGGAGGAGGAGGAGCAGGTCGTCGTCGACTGTCGGACCCGGCGGAGCGCCGTTCTCGGGATTGCTGCGTTGGTGCCTGCGGGCGGGCTCCCTGGTCCCAGGCGCCGCGGCCTCGGAGGCCCGGGGGCAGGCGGCCCCTGGATCGCGCGCGCGCGCCGAAGGGCGGCGCGCTGCTGATCCATCCCTCCTCCTCTTTCTCCTCCTCCTCCTCTTCCTCCTCCTCCTCCTCTTCTTCCTCCTCCTCCTCCTCTTCCTCCTCCTCCTCCTCATCCTCCTCCTCCTCCTCCTCCTCATCCTCCTCCCTCCTCATCCCCCTTCTCCCTCTCATCTGCAGCTCTTCCTCCTCTCCTTCTCCTCCTCCTCCACCTCCTCCTCCTCCCCCTCGTCCTCCTCCTCCTCCTCCTCCCCCCCCCTCCTCCTCCTCCTCCTCCTCCTCCTCCTTCTCCTCCTCCTCCTCCTCCTGCTCCTCCTCCTCCTTTTCCTCCTCCTCCCTCTCCTCCTTTTCCTCCTCCTCCCCTTCCTCCTCCTGCCCCTCTCGCACTGTAAGATCCGCGATTTCCTGGCATGGACTGGGGCCCTTGCCCTCAGCCTCGCCCTCGCCGTCATCGAAACTGGGGGATGGGGACCGGGAGCGAGGACTCGATATCTCGATATTTCGACATGTGCATAAAGAGGGCATTGTTGTGGACATCGGCAGGCCACGATACTGGTAAAAGCGCCCCCGCCCGCGACATAGATGCATTGAGTCTCGCCCCGAGGCCCCCCCGATATCGAGATGTCGAGATATCCAGTCCCCGCTCAGCGCCGCCTCCGATATCGAAATGTCGAGGTATCGAGAGATCAAGTCCGGGTGGAAAAATCAGCTTGGTTCACTGGGACGCCCCCCACCATGCAATGGGTAACCTCTGGCCAATAACTGCGAGTCATATCGCCCATTCTTTATTTGGATTTGTTCTGCTTGACATCCTGTTGAAAGGCTTGCGACATAAGCTTGTTCAACGTCCCAAACCCACATGTCGTGCCGGCCTCGCGTTATCAATGCGATGGTTTCTAAGTGCCAGGAGTGACGCATCGAAGCCGGGCGCCCCCGGCATTGCGCTGTCGCGCTGGACCTTCTTGGAGATGCTACCTTCCGAGACTGCGCACCGCGAGGCAGGGGCGGATCGCGGCGCGCTCCTCGCGCGAGCGGCGGGGCTCGGCCTGGCGTCCAGCAGTTCTCTCCGGGCGGAGTGCCGCGGCGAGAGAGAGATGTCTGGGCCGACCCGTGCGAGGTCCGCCGAAGCCGATGCTCATGGTATGGAATCGGGTGGCGGGATCGGATGAGGGCCCGCTGATTCGCGTAAGTCGTATGAAGGTGTTCCCCCCCCCCCTCTCTGTTCGATCCGCATTGCCTTCAGCGCTCCTTCCCTGCCTGTCATCTCCCTGGTGCCCCTTCAGTTCCCCCGTCCCCTCGTCGATTCATCCTCCTCACCTCTACTTGTTTCCCCTCCCCGGGCGCGAGGCCCCGTTTCCTCGCCCTGTTTGCTGTTCGGCTGCGTTCCTTTTCACCCTCCCCCCTGCAAATCCTCACTCCCCCCTTCCTGTCTGGAGTGGGCCACTCGTGCTAGCGCTCGAGGCCCCGCGCGCGGTGGCACCCGCCTTGACGCGGCCGCCTGTGTCGGCCCTGCGGCCTTATCCTCCTCCTCCCTTGTCGTCCTCTTCCCTCCTTGCTCCTAGTTATCATTCCCTTCGTCCTGCTCCCTCGTCCTCCTCCCTCCTCGTCGTCCTCGTCCTGCTCCGTCGTCGTCCTCCGTCCTCCTCGTTATCCTCCATCGTCGTCCTCCTCCTTCCTCGTCCTCGTCCTCGTCCTCCCTCGTCGTCCTCCTCCTTTCTCGTCCTCCTCCGTCGTCGTCCTCGTCCCTTGTCGCCCTCTCCCCCCCTCTCCCCTTCTCGGGCCCCTCTCGAGACACCCCTCCAGTGCATCCTGCGGCACATGGGGTGGGCCTCGTACTCCTGGGCCCCCTCCTGAGGTGTCTGCCAGGGCATGCCGCCGCAGGCAGGCCACGCGCGTAGTGCGCGCAGGCGCGCATGCCCTCCCTTCGACGGCTTCAAGATTCTGGACGTTTCGCGCGTCCCCACCAGCCCATGCAGAGACAATATTGAGGCGAGTTGCCGTGCTCTGGGGGGTGCGGCGGCGACCAACCCATCAGCGAACCATGAGCAGGAGGAGGGGGGGGAGGAGGAGGAGGAGGAGGAGGAGGAGGAGGAGGAGGAGGAAGGAGGAAAAGGGTGGAGGGGGGGGTGAGGATGAGGAAGGAGGAGGAGGAGGATGGAGGAGGGGAGTGGAAGGAGGAGGAGGGAGGAGGAGTAGGAGGAGGAAGGAGGCATTGAGGAGAGGAGGAGGAGAGGAGGATGGAGGGAAGGTAGGGAGGGGGGGGACGATGATGGGGGAGGAGGGGGAGGAGGGGGGGAGGAGTAGGTAGAGGGAGGGAGGACCGTTAGTTTGACCGTTAGTGTAGTCGAGGGGCAGACCAACCCCACGTGGGGGATGGCTGGGGGGCCCGCCCCGCGATGCTCCGCCGTGCCCGACAGGCCTATGGGGCCGCATCGCCAGGGCGTCGGGGAATGTTGTGGCGTCCGCGCTGGGCGGCCAGCGCAGACACGACAGCATCCCCCTGGGGGGTTGGAGAGCGGGTGGGCCCGGTCCTGCCTGTCCTCCCCCTCCGGCTCACTCGCGGGCCGGCGGCTGACGGGGCCGCCGTCCGGCAGCCGCGCGCGCCGCCGCGGTCCCCCAAAGAGGGGGGGGCAAGGGGGAGGGGGAGGGGGGGAACCAGCGGGGGGGGAAAGGAGGGGGAGGGCGGAGGCAGAAGGGGCAGGGGGCGACACGCGGGGCCGCCCGCGGGGGGGGGTGTGGGCAGCGAGCGCCCCGGGGGTTTCAGCCAAGTCGCGACCCAAGTTGGCTGTAAAAAACTCGGCGGCGGTGGGCCCCCCACCCACGCCCCCCCCCCCCGCCCGCCCCGAGATCCAGCCAAGGCGGGCCGCGAGTTGGCTGAAACTCCCCTCGCTGCGTGTCGGCCTGGCCACTGCCGGCCGATCGGGCGAGGGGGTCCTCCCCCCAGCAGTGCGGCAGCGACTGCATGCTGGCCCACGGCGCCGGGGCCCGCGGCGGGGGGCGGGAGGAGGGGGAGGGGAAGGAGGGCGCTCCTTTTCATCTTCCTCGCGCGCGTACATGGGCGCCCGCCGCCCGCCCCACGAACTCCACCTTCAGCGCGAGCTCGGCCACGACCGCGGTGTCCGTGAGGACCCACTCGAAGAAGCCGCAGGCAAGGGCGCACTCGCCCACGCGCGCCCGCAAAGCGCCGCGGGGTGCGTCCAAGGCGGGGCACTCCGCGACCAGGTGGTGGAGGCACGCCACGGCGCCGCCGCAGAGGGCGCACGCCTCGCCCGGCGCCGCCTGCACCTCCGCGCCCCAGACGACCCCCGGGATGGCCCCCGACAAGCGCGCCACCATCCACGCCCTGTGGTACCTCCACATGGCGGGGGACCACGGCGCCCAGCGGACCTCGGGCGCCCACGGCTGGCGCAGCGGGAGGAGCGCGTCCAAGGGCAGCAGCCCCGTGTCCGCCAGCCGCCCGACCTGCTCTGCGAACCAGCCTGCCTCCGCCGCCTCCAGGAGGGGGTCCACCACTTGCGTAGCCCAGGAACGCACCAGCGCCCGCCGCCGGGCGGGGGAAGCGCCGGGTTCCGGGGCCGGCCACTCGGTGACCCCCACGCTGCGCGCCACCTCCTCCGCGTCGCTCAGCCAGGTGCGCACGCCCGGGGTCAGCTCCGCCGCCTCCAGCACCTGCGAGATGGGCGACGGGCGGGGGAGGAGGATCATCCGGGCCCTGGCCCTGATGACCCGCTTGGTCAGCTTGGTGCCCAGCCGCGTGAGGAGGCGCGCCTCCAAGAATGCGCGGACGTACCCCCCGGCCTAGCGACCAATGCCGCGTGGCGCCCGCCAAGAAGATCTTAGCCACCTCGTAGTAGGCCCTGTTCACTCTGTTGATGACCACAGCCCAGCCCGCCCCGCCGGACGCGAGGAGCTCGGCCCCGAACAGGGCCGCCGACTCCACCCTGGCGGGGGTTTGCGAAAGCTGCATCGGGGCCCCGAACCCGCTGTCCGCCATGGCCGAGACCAAGCGGCGAGCGCCTGCCAGCAGCTTGGCGCACGTCCGGTCCAGGAGGGGGCGGAGGCTGAGTTCGGCGTCGATGGGCACCGGGTGGGGACGGGGATGAGACGCCTAAAACCGTCTCCAGCCGAGGTCCCCCCCCCCTGCCCCCCCCCCCCGCCCCCCGGAAAACCCCTTACCATAACGCCGCACCCCCCCCCGCCCCACCACCCCCCCCCCCTCCCCTCCCCCACGATGGCCCCGCACGCGGCGGCGTCGGGCTCCGCCCCGGCCACCGCCATGAGCGCTGGCCCCTTGCTTGTCCCGCCTTGGAACTTGTGACGCCAGCGCAAGCACCAGGCTGAGAGGGCCTCCGCCACGGCCGCCACCTCAGGCTCCCCCCCCCTGGCCACGAAGGAATCGTCGACGAACTGGAGCATGGAGAACGACAACGCGCCCGCCGGGGTACCCGGCGGCCCAAGCGCCACGCCTGGCCCGGCCCCGACGCCCGCGTCAATGAGGCCCCTCACGAGGACGCCGAAGAGGTGGACGCCGGCCCGACGTCCTTGGCCGACGCCAAACTCCGTCACCGTTATCGCCGCTGCCGCCAAGGCACCCAGGCGGACCCGAACCTGCTCCGGCCCCAGCGAGGAATCCGCCGCTACCCAC